TAGCTGGATGAATAAATAGAACTGTCTCAAATGCTAAATTAGATACACAGGTTTTTTTTAAAAAAAAACAACAACAACAACACCGTTTATCTGGCCATAAATCCACTGATGAGGCATGAGGGAAGGCCAGTGTTTTAGTCCGTGTTTGGAACATTCCAGAAATGTCCGCTTCAGAAAAATACCAATTCAGCTTTTGATAGAAATGCGTTACAGCACTTTAGGACTTCCAACTCGCAGAATTCCTCAGCCAGCAAGCTAAATAGGGAATTCTGGGAATTGAAGTCCACGTGTTTTAGAATTCCCAAATTGGAGAAACATTGTATTATATATAAGTTTGACTTCTTTCCTGGATTCCATCCAATAAGAGACCGGTTCTAGAACCCTACATCTATTCCTGGAAAATATTGAAATAGAAATCCGGATATTATTATCAATGCGTGTATGATAATGAATACTTTAATGTCAGAATCGTATTCCTGCGGGCACCACAATGTATCATTTTTATAGTAACATTACACTATTGCATTACTATTACTACAACTACTACTACTCCCTGACTAGGCAGCTCAGTGGTAAGACGCTGAGCTTGTCCATCAGAAAGGTCGGCAGTTTGGCAGTTCGAATCCCTACTACAGGTCTCCAACTCTGTTACCTGTTACCTATTACTACTTCTCCTCATTATTATCCTTATATTTTTATCTCATCTTTCTTGCAGAACTCAAGAGGGCATACAAAGCCATTTCTTCCAGTTTTCCCATTATATCCCAGTGACTTGCTAAGTCACCTGGAAAATTTCCATGGCTGAGGATAGAGACTGAACCTGAATTTACCTGATTCCAGCCCAGATCCTTAACCGTTACACCATGTTGTCCCTTCTGAGTTTACACCTCTCACACCAAACAATATATTCCAACATAGACTCACAACATTGGAAAGGTAAAATTATGGTGTCAGTTCAATAGCTGGAAACCCTGATATTTCTTGTGACTTATGAGGGATTTGCTTACTGACCTGGTTGCAGTATAGATAATCACCTTCATTGTCTAGAAAACCAAACCACTTCATCAAACTTCTTTTATTCTAGAGAAATCTCTTCCAAAAAAAGAAAGGACTACGGGTGGGTGCTCAAAGGATGGAGCAGAAGGAGACAAGGAGCCAAAGGAAATATTTAGTGGGTATAAAAATGCTAGAAAGAAATATAAGATTCCAAGACAAAGAAATAAAAGAGTGACCAAAAAGTCAATAAATGATGGAACTTCAAAAAGGGTAAGAGATGACGGATAGAGATAAAAGATAAAAAGTAGAAACCACAAAGTGGAAAATAGTAGTATACATATCGGTAGATAATAGAATTTATTATAATCATAAGCAAATTAAGGTTAGAAATTGAAAGTCTAGGATAGGCAACCAAATTGTATCATTGTTATTAACAGTGTGTAAAAACTTTATTGGAAACCCTAATTTTTAGGGACTAGGAATTTTGAGATATAATCCCAGGACTGATTAAATTTTGTTAATAATCAGCTTTATTAGTGTTTCTAGATATTTGGGATATTGGAATTATGATGGAATTGAGTAATTCTTAAAATATTAAAGATTCAGCAGGGGACAATAAACATATTGTGTAAAGAAATATTACTGATGTTTAAACGGATTTATGAAAAAAATGACAAAGAGAGAATGGTATTGCTGAAGGTGGAAGGTTAGGAGTATGTATATTTAATGGTATTATTACTGTTAGCATTTTGTAAAAAAAAAGGATATTGACTGTCCACAAAATATGTATGGTGTTAAAGGAAAACTACAAATAAAACATATATGAAAAAAAAAACTCAGACTTTTTTTATTCTTGTTGCTTATGTTTGTATTCCATCCACATTCATTTAGCACTCATGCCCTTTTAGTCTGCTTGTTCTTGTTTTATAGCACATATTTCCAAAGTATCCTATTTCCATGCATTTGCTGATATAATCAACTCTCTATTCCATATTTTAAAAAAAGCATACTCATACATACAGTAGTGGCCAAAATTGTGGAAACCTTTTGGGAAAAGTGTATTTTTTTAAAACTAGCTAATAACACCCCCCTTTTTTTTGCAGTAGTACCTTAAAATTATATATCAATGGAAAGATAATTGAATCAAGAATGTAATGCAAGAACTTCGATGAAGGATTTGCTATTAGAATAGCAGTTACGGTATAAAGAAGAAAACACGTAGAAAAAAAACAAGACATACAAAAATGAACCCCATACAAAAAACAAGATGTACAAAATTTATCACCATGTCGGTTAATCCTTAGTTGGGTATCCTTTAGCATGAATTACGGCCTTACAACATCTTCCCATGGAGTGAACTAAGTTTTTTTTAGTTCTGCAGCTGTTCTAACGTGAAACCAAAATTGAATGATGGCTTCTGCTAACTGGGTTTTATTGCCGGGTCACTTCTGACTAACAAGTTTCTTTAGTGGGCTCCATAGATTTTCAATTGGGTTAAGGTCTGGGCTATTCCTAGGCCATTCCAGCAGTGGAATAGGATTATCTTGAAACTCCCCCCCCCCAAAAAAAGGCGGTGTTATTAGCCATCCAACCTCAAAAATATACTTTTCCCAAAAGGGTTTCCACAATTTTGGCCACTACTGTACTTCTTTTCACTTTTTTCCACACAATGTTCTTCAGCAGAGACCATATGCTACCCACTACGTTTTTTTAATCAGCATTTGCACAATGGTTATAAATAGTTTGCTTTAAAAAAAATAAATAAATAAGTCAAAGCATTCAAAGATCTCCAGATCTTTCCCGGCCAAAATAAAACCTTTGGAGGAGGTGGGTGGGAATTGCAGTGAAGGTTTTTGTACACAACTGAATTGCCGTGGACGCTGGGAACAGCACTGTTGTGCATCTTCGTACAAAATCTTCCACCACACCAAAAGTAGTGAAGCAAAAAGGACAACAAAGAAATGCTTGAATAACAGAACAACAGAATAACAGAATTCGAAGGGTCCTTAGAGGTCTTCTAGTCCAATCCCCTGCTCAAACAGGAGACCCTGTACCATTTCAAATAGTTGTCCAATCTCTTCTTAAAAACCTCCAGTGATGGAGCATTTACAACTTCTGGAGGCAAGTTGATCTACTGATTAATTGTTCTATCTATCAGGAAATTTCTCCTTCGTTCTAGGTTGGTTCTCTCCTTGGTTAGTTTCCATCCTTTGCTTCTTGTCCTGCCTTCAGGTGCTGTGAAGAATAGTTTGACTCCCTCTTCTTTGTGGCAGCCCCTGAGATATTGGAACACTGCTATCATGTCTCCCCTAGTCCTTCTTTTCATTAAACGAGACATACCCAATTCCCGCAACTGTTCTTCTTATGTTTTAGCCTCCAGTCCGCTAATCATCTTTGTTGCTTTTCTCTGCACTCTTTCTAGAGTCTCCGCATCTTTTTTTATAGAGTAGCAACCAAAACTGGATGCAATATTCCAATTGTGACCTAACCAAGGCATTATAAAGCGGTGCTAACTTTTCACCTGATCTTGATTCTACCTCTTAGCGAGGCTCAAATTTCACTTCGAAGCGCCACGAAAGAGTTTGTCTTGGATTAAAATGGTCCAACAAGGTGTTTCAATATACAGTCCATTTATTTTTACAACTGTACCACATTTTTCTGATTTGATTTCAAAACGATCGCGGTTTATTCTCCGCAGCTGCCCCCACTCTCCCCCAAAAAGACATGGCTATTTTAAATAGTCAGTGCTTATGTTAATCTCTGTCCATTCCGAAGCATCGTTTTGGAAACTAAATCTAAAGCAGATGTGATTTTTTTTTCCCCCCATGGAGAAAAATCTCAATGAAAAAAAGGGAAAAATGAAAACAGACCAAAAGAACAACGCTTCCCCGAATATCTTAACATATCTATATCAACACTGCGGTTCTTACGAAGATGCAAAGCACAACACACGTTTTATAGATTATCGCTTTTGAAATAAATAGAAATAAATAAACAGGCCTGATTCAGAGAAAGAAATCTCACCTGCATTTTCAGCATGTCTTTTTTTTAGCCATCTTCAAGCTGCAGATCCCAGATTCGGTTGCCGTTGGACTCGCAATGGATTTTTCCCAGATAAAATCAAGTTTCCTCACGAGCATATCGTTCTCTCTCCCAAACTCCATGAACATATATCTGCTTCTTTGTCTAGATCTCCATCACCAACTAACATCTTGTTTCCTATATATCCCCTGATATAAGCCAGCATCAAAACTGTTTGTTCCTCACACACGTAAGGAACATATATATATATGTTCCTTAGGATATTCTATGAATTCCCCCCCCTCCAAATGCCAATGTAGGGAGATGAACATGTGCAGCTCTTGAGGGAGAATTCCTTGGAATGAAACCAGAGTACACCAAATTGCCATTTTTCTGTCTCCCCCCACCCCCGCTCCTTCTTCCTCCCACCTTCATTCTCTCTCTGCAAAATTAATCTTAAACCAGAAACATCTCTGATTTCTGTTTCCTGCCGCAGTTGAAGCAGGAAGCCAGCAAAGAGGTCGGCTGAGGACAGGCAGCGAAAGAAATGAAGATGGGAATCATAGATTGGAAGAAGGAGGAGGAGAAACGGCTGCTTTTCTCAAGGTCTCAAAATGAGATCAAGTTGGGTGCAAAAAGAACCAATGCATGTGGGCATCTGAACTAGTCTAAATATATTTGGACAACTTGTTAGACTCAAACCATATCCTAACAATATTCACCCATGTTGTACGGCTGTAGTATTATTATTATTTATTATTATTCTCATCTGGCTGACTAGGTGGCTCAGTGGCTAAGACACTGAGCTTGGCGATCAGAAAGGTCGGTAGTTTGGCAGTTCAAATCCCTAGTACAGTTCTCCTGGGTGAGCAGGGGGTTGGATTAGATTACCTCCAAGGTCCCTTCCAACTCTGTTACTGTTACTGTTAACTCCTCTACTACCATCTCTTATTGGTATCATCATTGTGATTATTATTACGCACAAATTCTTGTGTGACTAATTATACTCAGCCAAATCTTCTCTTCTCTTGTCTTCTCTTCTCTTCTCTTCTCTTGTCTTCTCTTCTCTTCTCTTCTCTTCTCTTCTCTTCTCTCCTCTCCTGTCCTCTCCTCTCCTTTCTTTTCTCTTCCCTTCTCCTCTTCCCTCCCCTCCCCTCCCCTCTCCTTTCCTCTCCTCTTCTCAAAAAATTAATCCAGAGGGGGCAAATTTTGGATTGGTGAAAAAACTGGATTGCCATCTAAGAGAATAACAGAATAGCAGAGTTAGAAGAGATTTTGGAAGTCTTCTAGTCCAACCCTCTGCTAAAGCAGGAAACCTGATACCATTTCAGACAAATAGTTGTCCAACTATTTCTTAAAAACCTTCAGGTTTGGAGCATTCACAACTTCTGGAAGCAAGTTGTTCCACTGATTAATTGTTCTAACTGTCAGAAAATTTCTCCTTAGTTCTAGGTTGGTTCTCTTCTCGATTAATTTCCATCCATTGCTTCTTGTCCTACCTTCTGGTGCTTTGAAGAATAGTTGACCCCTTCTTTTTGATCTTTCGATCTCTCTCTCCCTCCCTCCCCCCCCCTCTCTCTTTCACACACACTTTTTTTCCTCCCTCTTTTTCCTGATTTCCACTTTCATTTCAGCTTATATTCAGGCTCATCCATTTCTCCAATCAATATTTATCCATCTTTAATACCTTTAAGGCACTGAAGTCAAGTCAAGCCAAAGTCCTTGAGTCAAAGTCTTCCTGCAAGTGATTCCTTGTGGAAATTCCAGGGTGACCTCACTCTGTCAAAGTTATTCAGTTTCTTAAAAGTTTTCATCTCTTTAATTCTCTGCGTCTAAATTCTTTGGCCAATGTTTAGATTCTCCAGTAGAGAATTCCAGAATTTTATGCACAAAGAGAAGGACTGGGTTTGGAATGCACGTGTCCAAGATTAGACAAAGGTTTTCGAATGAGTGAAAAACATTGTGCTACTACTATAGCTCCCACAGTGTTACATTTCAATACAGTAACCGCTCGCTGGACCAGCCACAAGCAAAGGAGGACTTCTGAAAAATGACAGATCCATTTTCCAAATTATACTCGATGTGACAGAGAAAGAAGTCTTCAAGAGTTCAGGGTGGAACCATTATTTTCATAGTACACCTTGAGATTTTGGTTTGGACAATGAGGAAGTTAGGGTGCAATGACAAAAATAATACTACCTCCCATACTACCACCTCTTACAATACTAGACAACATAGTATCAACAGTAGAGACCTTCAAATTTCTATGTTCTATCATATCTCAAGACCTAAAATGGACACCTAATATCAAAAAGTCATCAAAAAAGCACAACAAAGAATGTTCTTGCTGCACCAACTCAGAAAGCTCAAACTGCCCAAGGAGCTGCTGATCCAGTTCTACAGAGGAATTATTGAGTCTGTCATCTGCATCTCTATAACTGTCTGGTTTGGTTCTGCAACCCAACAAGACAGACACAGACTTCAGAGGATCATTAGAACAGCAGAAAAAATCATGGCTACCAACCTGCCTTCCATGGAGGACCTGTATACTGCACAAGCCAAAAAGAGGACTGTGAAAATATTTACAGACCCCTCGCATCCTGGACACAAATTGTTTTAACCCCTACCCTCAAAACGATGCTATAGAGCACTGTACACCAGAACAACTAGACATAAGGGCAGTTTTTTCTCAAACGCCATCACTCTGCTAAACAAATAATTCCCTCAACACTGTCAAACTATTCACTAAGTCTGCATTACTATTACTATTAATCTTCCCATCGTTCCTATCACCCATCTCCTCCAACTTACGACTGTATGACTGTTACTTGTTGTTGTATCCTTACAATTTATATTGACTGTTTCGTAGTATGATTCGATTGCTTATTTGTACCCTATGACTATCATTAAGTGTTGTACCTTATGATTCTTGGTGAATGTATCTTCTCTTTTTATGTACACTGAGAGCATATGCACCAAAGACTTGTGTGTCCAATCACACTTGGCCAATAAAGAATTCTATCTATTCTATCTATCTATCTATCTATCTATCTATCTATCTATCTATCTAAATATTTGCAGATTTCTTACTCGACCGCATCGAATCTAATTTAGAAAATGCATCTGTCCTGTATGGATGGCGTCCTGTCCTATAGAATTTTCTGTAACAGAACAGCCAGATGACAAAGGCCAAGAGAAGAGAAATTGATATGAATTGCATGAAAGACTAATTCATCTGTTTGCTTTTTACAACCCTTCCATTACCTATGCTTTTTTGGGGGGTGGGAGTGTAGATTACCGCCTATCAAGAATAACCCTTTGATTTGTACAGTATAGCAAAAGATTGATTGCTTGTCTGACAGTGCTCCAGTCATCATCATCAATCAATGGTTCTCAATGTTTTCTTCACCGTGGACATTCTTTAAATACCTTCTGCGGCCATGAATCATGGCCATGGACCCTCAAGACTTAATTCAAGATATAAATCATATCAAGCTTTTACGGACTCCCTGTGATGACATCACAGCTCCCAGGGGCCTGTGGACCAAGGTGGAGAACCACTGCCATAAATCATAAAAATAGTCCATCATAAATATATCATACCTCTTAGTTATTGTGGGCCACAGAAATGGGTTAAGGCATAAGGCTATCTTAACTTTAAGCCCACATGACCTCACTTTTGTCAACTTCACCCTGTGAAATTAATCAATCAATCAGAATAGAGCTGGAAGGGACCTTGGAGGTCTTCTAGTCCGATCCCCTGCTCAAGCAGGAGACCCTATACCTGTGATGGCAAACCTATGGCACGCAGACCACATGTGGCACGCGGAGCAATATCTATGTGGCACGCGAGCATTGCCCTAGCTCAGCGCAAGCGTGGAGCATGCGCTGGCCAGCTCATTTTCGAGCCTTCCAGGCCCACCGGAAGTCAGGAAATGGGCTGTTTCCAACCTCCGGAGAGCCTCTGGGGGAGTGGGGAAGGCTGTTTTCACCCTCCCCAGGCTCCTAGAAAGCCTCTGGAGCCTGAGGAGGGTGAAAAACGGCCCTACCGGGCCCACTGTGCCACCGTGTGCCAAAAGCGGGAGGAGCAGGGGGGTCGACACACATACACGGGGTGCATTGAATTATGGGTGTGCCCCCCCGGGCTCCCCCTGCTTTTGGCACACGACAGCAAAAAAGTTAGCTATCCCTGCCCTATACCATTTCAGACAAGTGGCTGTCCTTAAAGACCTCTAGTGATGGAGCACCAGAGGTGGGTTTCAGCAGGTTCTGACCAGTTCTGGAGAACCGGTAGTAAAAATTCTGACTGGCCCCACCCTCATCTATTCTCTGCCTTCCAAGTCCCAGCTGATCAGGAGGAAATGGGGATTTTGCAGTAACCTTCCCCTGGATTGGGAACGGAATGGAGATTTTACAGTATCCTTCCCCTGGAGTGGGGTGGGAATGGAGAATTTACAGTATCCTTCCCCTGCAACGCCCACCAAGCCATGCCCACGAAGCCATGCCACGCCCACCAAGCCACACTCACAGAACCAGTAGTAAATTTTTTTGAAACCCACCACTGTGGAGCATTCACAACTTCTGAAGACAAGTTGTTCCATTGGTTAATTGTTTGGACCATTAGGAAGTTTCTCCTGGATACCAGGTGGCTTCTCTCCTTGATTAGTTTCCATCCATTGTTTCTTGTCCTGCCCTTTTGTCTATCCTTCAATGGAGACATACATAAGCCCAGGGCTTCGCAGGGCTTCGGGAGACCTCTAGCTAAGATTCTGTGCAGTTCAGAGAACCCTCAAATCCCACTCCTGGCTGGCCCCGCCCCACCCACCCCTCCCAGGAATCTCCACATGGCCTGTTTTGGATGCAGGTAAGTGCAGGCTGCGCATGGAGGCTCGGGTAGGGCAAAAAATGGGCCTACCAGAAGTTCGAGAAGAGGGCCTTTGGAGCCTGAGGAGGCCGTTTTCCCCTCCAGGGGCTCGAGGAAAGCCTCTGGAGCCTGGGGAGGGCAAAAATGCCCCCCTGCCATGGTGCAGGAGGCTGACTATGCCACGCATAGCAACAACAGGACAAAGAACACCATGCTAAATTTTTTGAAGCCCACCCCTGCATAAGCCCACAGATTTATTCCACCTGATCAATTAAACCCTGAAAAGGACGCACTCTGGGAATCTAGTTGAAAGTACACTAATTCCAAGTTACAATATAAACCAAATGTCCAACACCGAACCATGACTTAAAAATAAATAAGTAGCCATTGTAAAAAAAAAAAATGAACCAATAGCATATGGATGAGACAGTTTTGTGTAATAGTCAAAGCCCCGGGCTAGAAACCGGGAGACTGTGAGTTCTAGTCCTTCCATAGGCACAAAGCCATGTTGGTGACCTTGGGCCAGTCACACCTTCTCAGCCCTAGGAAGGACACAATATGAAATCCTTCACAAAAATCTTGCTGAAAAACTGCACGGACTTATCCAAGCAGTCTCCAGGAATCAACAATGACAGTAAGACCACACCTAGAGTACTGCATCCAGTTTTGGTCACCACACTATAAAAGAGATGTTGAGAGTGCAGAGAAGAGCAACCAGGATGATTAGGGGACTGGAGACTAAAACATATGAAGAACGGTTGCAGGTGTTGTGGCTCCATTGCCTGAGCCTGGGCTATTGACAGATGCAGACTCTGAGAGTGAGGGAGAGGAGTTGGCAAGGCCTCCCTCTCCAGGACCCTCCTCTCTGGCAATGCCTCCGGAGGACACCGAAGGCCAGACGATAGGCTCAGAGCCAAACACGTCCCCGCAGCCACAGGTGGACAGCGATGAGGAAGATAAGTGCTGGCTGGACCCTCGACAGAGGGGCAGGGAGAAGCATGCACAGCAGAGGGGAAGGCGTGCCAGAGATTAGCTGAGTCATTGGACCACACCCCACAGGGTATAAATGTGGGTGTGGTGGCCGGTTCAGTTTGTGACGAGCAAAAACTGGAAATACTCCATGATCTCTGCGTTACTGGACTTTGTCTGCTTTATCCGACTGCA